TTTTAAAGTAATCACCTGGGAAAGGTTCTCTCACAGAGAAGTATTTGAGCAGAGAGTTGATGACAATGGGAAAAGGAGCCATTCAAGTGCAAGTACAAGGAATATTCAACAATTTCAGAGCAAGTGCCTATTTATGGTAAAATTATGCATGGGCTCCAAAAACTCTATGCACCAACATTAACTTTTCTTGCATTCCACTGCTCCAAGAACATTTTGAAGGACTCTGTCTGTATGGGGAGAAGAAGCATCCCAGGCAATAGAACAGCAAACAGCCAAACGCCAGAGGTGAGCCTGCCCCTGGGGAAGGACTGCCCTGACTCTGGAAGGAAGCAGGGAACAATGGTAGGATGCAGCAGAGGAGCACATCACGAGCCTTCTGAGCTAGAGCTGAATCAGTCTCTGAGAACAGGTTATAGGTGAAATAAAATGCAATCTAGAAACTCCGATGTGTCTGTCATCTAGAAGCCAAAACCCAAGAACTTCCACTATGCTTGGTTTTATGGAAAACATATTCATTGATGTAGGATCCTCAACTTGGGTCTTATTCACTGGAAAGTCAGTAGTTTATTTATTCTAAAGACAGAGTTACAGAGAGAGAAGGAGAGGGAGCGGAAACAGGAGAGGGAGGGAGAGAGAGAGTGACTTTTCACCTGCTAGCTCACTCCCCAAATGACCACAACAGCTGGTGCTGGGCCAGGTCGAAGCCGGGAGCCTGTAACCCCATCCAGATCTTCCACGTGGGGGACAGCAGCCCAGGCACTTGGGCCATCCTCTGTTGCTTTTCTAGGTGTGTTAGCAGGGAGCTGGATCAGAAGTGGAGCATGTGGAACTCAGACCAACACGCATCTGGGATGCCAGCACTACAGGCAGAGGCTTAACCAGCTCTGCCACATACTGCCCTCCTCCCTTTCTCAACAGTCCACTCCCACCACTGCTTAGGGGAATAGGCCTAATTAATAATGCATCACAGATCTGCCCCTTGCATGGTCACTGGGGCTCTGTACAGAAACACAGGACAAAGGCAATCTCCATCAGAATATAGTACAATCATGTGTTGCTTAATGATGGGGATATACGCTGAGCAATGCATTATCAGGCATTTCTTCATTTTGCTGTCATCACAGAGGGTAATCACATGAACGTGGATGGGATAGGCCAACCACATAAAGTGATCTTTTGATGCAGTAAAGAGACGTGGTAACTACAAGATGTATGAAGCTGCAACAAGCCCAACACAGCATGCTATTTTAAAGATTCCTTTGCAAGTCAAAGGAGTACACTTTAAAACAGTGTATGACATAGTACATAAATCAGTAACATGGTCGCAAATTTTCATTATCAGTATTATGCACTGTAGGGACAGGTGGTTAGCACAGCATATCAGATGTCACTTGAAACTGCATTTGATTTCTTATAATTGTACCTAGGAAACACATGAAATCTATTCTCTGTGTATTAAAAAACTTAAAAATCAGAAGAAATAAAAAGAATAAATAACTAAGTAAAAATGTAAGCCAAGGAAGGAAAAGATGGAGGGAGGGGGAATAAGCAGTGCCTGTATAATGCAATGAATCATTTGAAAAATGCTCTTGGAGAATAAAAGCAAGTCTTTAAAAGAGGATGTCCCTGGGAATGCCCACATCCCATATCACAGTGTCTGGGTTCAAGTCCCATCTCTACTCCTGATTCCAGCTTCTTTTAAATGTGCACCCTTAGAAGCAACGGGTGATGGCTCAAGTGGTTGGGTCCCTGCCACCTACATGGGAGAGCCAGACTGAGTTCCCAGCTCTTTCCTTTGGCTCGGCCCAGCCTTGATGTTGCACACATTTGAGGAATGAAAGAAAGGAGGAGATAGCTCCCCCTCTCTCAAATAGAATGTTAAAAATTGTATATACTGTACACAATTGTGCTGTACAACTGGCAGTGCAGTAGGTTTAGCTATACTGGCATCATCACACACACACGAATAATGTGTTGCATTCCTATGCTACAATGGCTAAGACACCAACAGGTGATCAGAATTGTCGAGCTCCATTATAATCTTGTGAAATCCTGGTACATAATGTGGGACTAGAATTGCTTCAGACATGAGCAAGAAACTCAAGTCAGTACAACACGACACAGGGAACACACCTTACTTGTGTGAGTGTGTGTGTGTGTGTGTGTGTGTGTGAGAGAGAGAGAGAGAGAGAGAGAGAGAGAGCTGGCAATCACTGGGTCACTCCTCAGTGCCTGCAATAACCAGGGGGCTGATGCCAGGAACTGTAAACTGACACCCTTTGAAGTTCCCTGAGGAGGAAGGCCCAGAGCATGGGTTCTGTCTCAGGACCCAGGACCACATGTTGGAGAAGATGCCCATAAATGTCCTTTCCAGAGAAGAGCTGTTCTGGAAGGCAAGTTGGCAGCAGGGAGTAATTCTCAAACATGTCTGGAACCACTGCTCCCCTAACTTCACTGCTGAGGACTTACTGAAAGGAAATCACAAAACTCATAAACAGAGATGTATTTCAACATTGATCTTAACAGTGAAACCTCAGAAAGTAACTAGAAAGGACAGCAATGTGGGATTAGTTAAAGAAATTACAATGGGGATAAATGATTGAAAAACTATGGCCCCATCAAAAATGACGTTTACAAAGAATCTTTAACAACACAGGAAGATGTTGCTGATGGAATTTTAAACAAATCCCAGGACATGAATCTAAAAGCACAGAGAGATCTCAACTGTTTTATCTCCCAGTTGATGTCTTCATCTCACTTAAAAACTCATTGGAGATACCTAAAAGTTGTAAATAGTGGTTCTTGCTAGATTCTGAACGTTTGGTGAGTTGAGAAGCTCTTCCGTTATTTTATATACCTTGCACATGATCTGTAAAGGAAGTGCAATGCTTTGATAACCCGAGGGGAAAGCATGCATCCTTTGGAACAAGGCGTAGGTCTCTCTCCCCTGGTGCATCTCTCACGCCTGAGTGGACTTTCCTCTGCAGCCAACGCTTTCCCCAGCTCTCAGAAAAAGGCATTTAGAGGCCCTATGATGTGGCTTCTCTGAGGTTCTTCAGGACCTGGCTCATGGATTGCTCTCTGCCTTCACATGGTCAGCTCACCTGCTCACTCAAAGCACTAGCTTGCAGCGTGTTCAGAGCTACCAAGATGAGGCAGTGACACAAACCTTCTATTGAAAGTGGTCTTTAATCTCAAAATGGACACTGATGAGACAAGGGTTGCACCTCCAAGTGATGTCCTAAAAGTTAAAATATATGAAGTGTCAAGCCTGGGTCCATGGCATCAGTATCACCCAGGAGCTACTGAAATGCAAGTTCATGGGCCTCACCCCAGACCTACTGCATGAATCTGCATTTAACAAGCTTCACAGGTGAATCTGCACACATTGAAGTCTGAGAAACAATGGAGGTGGCGGTAAGGCACAGAGGGTTAAGCCTTTGACACCTGCATCCTATATTAGAGTGCCGGTTAGAACGCTGCTGCTCTGCTTCCACTCTAGCTCCCTGCTAATGTGCCTGGGGTGGCAGTGGAGAATGGCCCAAGTCCTTGAGCCCCTTTCATCCATGTGGGAGACACAGATGGAGTTCCAGGCTCCTAGTTTTAGCCTGGCCCAGCCTTGGGTGTTGTGGCAATTTGGGGAGTGAATCAGCAGATGGAAGACATGTCTTTATCTCTCTCTCTCCCTCTCTCTTTCTCTTTAATATCCTATCACTCTGCCCTTCAAATAAATAATAAATCTTTTCTTAAAAAAACTACAGTTTCAGAAACACTGCTCAGCGAGATAAGTGTGTAACAACCTAACATCCTAACACAAACACTGGGGAGATGCTAACAGCACACCTCACCGTTGATGCCAGCTCTGTAATCAAAAAGCTACACGACCTTGAAAAGTTGACCATCTTTGTCTAAGGGAGATAAACTAACTATCCAGCTTTTAAGCTTGTGCATCTGCAAAATGGGAACAATCAGATATCTCCATCCTAGGATTCATATGGATTAAGTTAGGCAGCCTAAAACCCCTAGGATACTCGGTGGAACAGAGTAAGAATTAAATGATTTTTATCATCATGGCAAAGATTACGTATGACAGCTGTAAGGATCAAATGAGCTCATGAGTACACAAGGCTGCAGATGAAGAAGATTCCTGCACAGATATGCAGAGAGATTGTCTTGCAGATGTGCAGAACCATTCTTTACCCAGAAAGCCAACTGTGAAATGACAGTTGGAATAAAGAGTGAAAATACAGGCTTCCAAGAGGATTTGGACTCCGTGAGCCTCACTCCATGGTATCAGCAAGGGCCGGAGTTCCGTTTCCCTCCTTATTCCACTTCTTCCCTCTCAGAGAGAAGGCAAAGGGATCCTTTGTTAGGAGACTTAGGGGAGGTGTGGTACATCTGCTCTGTCACTCCCCCAGGCATCATTACCAGGCAATCCCTCACCTACAGCAACTGCTGAGTCATTTTTGAAAAGTTTTCCCATTTCCAGATGTTAGGAGGCTCTGCTTTTGTGCCACTGACCTAGGAGGAAGGGAAGTCAGGGCTTTCTACCTGCAGCATCAGCTGTCAAGCAAAGTGATTGACAGCCTTTGATGGAGAAATAGGTAAGAGGAAAGCTTTCAGATGGTTCCCATCACCTTGGCCTTGAACAAATGCAGCAGGAAGATGTCCCAGGGAGACACAACTGAGCTTAAAAGGGGAAGAACAGAAGGGGCCCAGGGTGGGGAAACGTGAAGAGGGTCAGGGAAGGAGCAAGGAAGGAAACCCGTGGGGCAACAGGAACCTACTGTCCCCCTGTGGATTCGGTTCTTGACCATGTGAACAAAACTGCAGTTACGCTGATCCGAATTCTGATGATCACGAAGCAAACTGACTGTGACGTACATGGTCCTTAACTTTCCAAATTCTTAACAACATTCGGTTGTCTATTAGCCCATTTCTCATTGCTATACTGAACCACTGAGGTTGAGGAACCTTACAGAGAACAGAGAAGCACTCACGGTTCTGAGGTTCCAGGGGGCGGTGGCAGCACTGGCTTTGCTTCAGGGAGTCTCGTGGCAGATGGCATCACAATGCAGGGATGCTTGGCAGAGGGAGAAACCACATCAGGAGACAGGAAGCCTGAGAGAGAGTCAGAGGTCATGTCAGGCTTTAATGACAACTCATTCTCACAAGGACTCACTCCAGAAAACCAGCATCCTCAGGCCCTTCCATGTAGCCTCACCTGTTAAAATTCCATCGTACCCTGGGAGCTAAGCTCCTAACACATGAACACTTGGGGGAAAGCACAATCAAACCCGGGCTGACTGCTCTTCTGGTACATTCCCTAGACAGGGCCTGCTGTGGTCTCATTTAATGCAGCACACAACACAGGCTTTAAATGTACATCTGGGGGCCACGGTTGTGGCATAGCGGGGTAAGCTGCCACCTACGGGCACAGCATCCCATGTGGGTGCCAGCTCAAGCTTTGCTGCTCCACTTCCAACCCAGCTCCCTGCTAATGCACGTGGGAAAGCAGTGGAAGATGGCCCAAGTGCTCGGGCCCCTGCACCCACGGGAAGACCTGAATGGCATCCAGGATCCTGCCTTTGGCCTGGCCCAGCCTTGGGCCTTGGCAGCCATTTGGGGGATGAGCCAGCAAATGCAAGATTCTTTCTAACTCTGCCTTTCAAATAAATAAATAATAAAAATCTTTTTAAAAGCAAACCAAAATAACAATAAGCGATGCAGATAGAATGTGGCTCTCAAAAGCCTAAAATATTTTATAACTGCTTCCTGCCTGATCTTCCTCTGACATGGAACCTACTCTTCATAGCTCCCTCTCCGCTTTGTCCTGGCTGCCCTCATATCCCTTCAACTGATCTTCCGTGGACTTTTTTTCATCTGGCCTTTGCTGAACTGGCCTGGAGCCTCCTAGAGTTTCATTATCTACTCTCTTCCAGAGGTCAGACACTCCAGGTCAGGAAAGGAAAATGAATGTGGGAACAGGTCAGAGGTCAATAGGGGTTGGTATGCAGCTTGGAAAACTGAGACTAGACGTTCTGCTAAAAATAGCTCAGGTTTCTTTTTTCTGGAGCCATGTTCTGGGCCAGATTTATTCATCCCCGAAGTCTAGCCTTTGTCCCTTCAATGTCCAACCCCAGTGCCTGTGTCTCAAAAAGGAAGCGAGCTTCGGTTTCTATGCAGGTCCTCAGGACCCCACGGGGCCTGCAGGTTGCACAGGAACAAGGGCACAGCTGTTAGATTTGTCTCCGTTTTCTTTGGCCATTGGGCTGCACTGGATGAGGCCTCATCCCAGTTTCCTCTTCATCTCAGTTGGGCCTCCTGATCATGGTGGCAATCAAGGAGAATCTAGTCCCCGAGTCACACTGTGAGCCATGGATGGCAGATGCCTTGGGTTCTGCACTGCCCCTCTGGCCTGTCTCTCAGGCCAGCTACCGGGGGTTGGCTTCCTGCAAGCTCGGCCTCACCTTGCAGAGCAGTGCTGTCCTTCACACAGGAGCCAGCACCTCTCAGCTCTGCTGCTCCGCCAGGGCCGTGCTGCATATCACAGTTCCCTGCTGCTCAGGCCCTGTGTGCTCAGCGCATGTGGGCACAGACAGAGGCACAGGGAAAGGCGCACTTTCCACCTCCGTCTCCTGATTCGTTTCCAGGTGTCACTCAGTCATACTTGAGACTCTCCTTGGCCCCTGGAATATCAAGTCTCAGAAGCTTGTGCTTTACCTTCCTTTCTTCTTGGTCCACCTGGCTGATTCCAAGTCACATCTCACACAATTCCCATCCAAAGCCTCTCCATTCTCGCACCTCCTTCTGCCATTCATGTTCGGTTCTGTCTTTGTGTATTCTTCCCTAGACTTTGCCAACAGCAATGCACTTTCTATTTCTTCTCTTATAATCAATAATTTCTCATTTTCTCACACCCTATTAGAAGGTTTATAAGGGACAGAAAGCTTGCCAATCACCTCTGTATTTGCATTCTAGTGTGACACAAACAGCGAACACAAACATTTGCTGAATGACTGAATGAAGGTACGAGTGGTTTGCAATTATGCTGAAATCCTGCTGTCACCAAATATATCATTTTGCATTCAAATATTAAAATTAGTAAATACTTTCTGAGAATTTATTTGCCACATAGAAATCATTCAATAAATGCTGAACCCTTATATAAACTTCAAAAAAGATAAATAATGGCACCAAGGGTGAAGCCACGGCTTGCGATGTCACATCCCATATTGGAGTTCTGGTTCCAACCTGGCTGGCCTGCTTCTGATCTAGCTCCCCGCTAATGTGCCTGGAAAAGCTGTGAAGATGTCCCAAGTACTTCAGTCCCTGCCACCCACGTGAAAGACCCAGGCGGAGTTCCTCACCCCTGGTTTCGGCCTGGCTCAAACCTGGTGGCTGTGGCCATTTGGGGAGTTAATCAGACCCCTTTTTCTGTCTCTCCTATCTCTGTCACACTGAATGTCAAATAAACAAATAATAAATATCTTTTTAAAGCTACCCAATGAAATCCCTCAAGAGAGTGAGGGAAATGAATACAAATGCAACAAACCTGACTGTAAGGGGTTTAATTATTTAAAAAGTCAGAGAGTGCTAAGTACGTGACTGATGGTTTCATGGAACCCATGGGGTTGTGGGGGAAAGACTGGAGTTGCCTAGAGACCAACTGTATTAATTTCAGGCATACTTATGGTGTGCCTGGTTAATGTCAGGTGAAGTATGTGATAAGACTGAGCTTAAATGATGAATATCTCAGTATTCATCAGGCAGTAATTATTTTGAAATCTATTCATTTGAATAGATTTTACAACTTGTGATCTCCTAAAGCTAAAATCTGAGTTCAGGGTAGTAGGAAATTCTAGCAATCAACGGTACCCAGTTCCATCTTGGTCTTGGGGTGAACACAGGCTGCTTAAGTCTGACTTCTCTCTGCTTCATCTGAACCTTAAGTCAGACCTCTAAGGATAATCCTGATAATTAACTAGTAGGACCGATACCAATTCTGTCTGTGATATAGAAGGAACAGGGTTAAAGCACCTAAGAACTTTTTTAATCCAAATCATGGATTTGTTACTACCTAGTCTGAGCCCTCAAATCATGTTTACAGAGGCGGATCTGCTCGTTTTCTATTTGTGATTTGGGGGAACTAGGCAGGAAGATTATGGAGAAATATGTGAGTGGGGCTTTCTGCCAGCCCTGCACTGTAACTCCATCCCTTCCCTGTCAATCTTGTACCCCACTTTCTCAGGGTGCACCTGTGTCCCATCCAGAACCAGGAAGAAGACACTATGATGACCAGGTGGAAGTTAACCTACATGTGGAGGTGCCAGCGAACTCTCAGAGAGCCTCACTCAAGCTAAACTCCACCAGCCCGATCTCAGGAAAGACACTGATACTGAGAGGGCTGCTGTTAGCCCTTGACCGTGCCCATGTCCTCTCTGAACTCCTCCCGCCCTCTCTCCTCACAGGCAGCTCTCTGCGTGACAGGTATCTGTGTGGAGTAACCACACTCACCTGTGAATGCACGCACTCTCTCTGTTAAAGGAATCCCTGCTCTCACTGGGGCACTGTATATATGGCTCTTTATGACACTTGAGTCCTTATCTCTGTAGGGTCAAGAAACTGGAATAAAGATTAAGAGACCTAGTCCTGTAACATCTTCATCACCTGTCACCTTGGGCTATGTCTGCAGAGGCAGAATGTGTAAGGGGGAAGTCATAGGCTTGGGAGCCCAATGCAGTTGGACCCTTCATTTGCGTGCTTAGCAAACTTGAATAAATTGCCTTTCCTTTTTGGAAGCCAGGTTTCTTTTACTGACATACAGAGGGAAAACTGCTGCTGCCACAGAATGCAAGAGAAAACAGAGTGGCTTGGATGGGGCCTTAGCAATGGGCCCTGCCCAGTCACACCTTTTCCCCGCCAACAGAATCAAGATTCCTGTGATTGGGATCCTTTACACGGACCTGCTGAAGTTCCTGGCATTTCTCCTCCCTTCTGAATCCTCTGGCCAAAAGAGTGGGAGAATTAATGACACAGCAATGTGGAGCCAAGAATCCAAGAATGAGAATCCCTTGTCTCTTCCCTCGTACTTCCCAGGTGCCCAGAGCTACACAGTACTTGTGTGAGCTAAAGTGGGTTTGAATAAGAGGCTGGGTGTCCTGCAGAGACCTGGAGATTCTGGAATTTTCCCTTTGGGTTATATAAAATGAGATTTTTTTATAATGGATGTATAAGTGTCCATTTGTTATTACAATCTTTCACTTTATCTTCATTTCTGATTGCTGTTTAATCAGCAATAGCTTGGAAACAACTGAACTTTTAGTTTCGTCCTCTGTTAAGCAAGTAATGATGTGTAACAAACACTTAAATAAGTGCTACTTCAAGGGACCTTTTTTCCCCTTTGTAATGTAAGAATCCTTATCTGGGTAAATGAGTCCACCTCTAATTTGCCAGTAGGATATTTCTGGACTCCATTTAGCTATTCTGTTTCAAATTTAATTACACATGAAGGTAAATGGTTTAGACTGGGCCAGACCAAAGCCAGGAGTCTGGAATAATATCTGGGTCTCCTACAGGGGTGCAGTGGCCCAAGGACTTGGGACGTCTTCCACTCTATCCCAGGCATATTAACAGGAAACTAGGGGCCAGTGCCGGGCCCAGTAGATTACTCCTCCACCTCTGGCGCCAGCATCCCATATGGGCACCAGTTCTAGTCCCGGCTGCTCCTCTTCCAAACCAGCTCTCTGCGATGGCCTGGGAAAGCAGTAGAAGATGGCCCAAGTGCTTGGGCCCCTGCACCCACGTGGGAGACCGGGAAGAAGCTCCTGGCTTCAGATGGGCGCAGCTCCGGCGGTTGCGACCATTGGGGAGTGAACCCGCGGATATCTCTCCCTCTCACTGTAACTCTACCTCTCAAATAATACAATAAATTAAAAAAAAGAAAGAGGAAACCAGATGGGAACAGAGCATCCAGGACTTGAACTGGCATCCATATATGATGCCAGCATTGCAGGCAATGGCTTATACCCTCCCACAACACCAGCCCCAGAAGTTTCTTAATTTAAACTGCTTATTCTTTATATAGTTATTTATAAATTTATCTACTTATTTATATTTAA